AGACATTTTCATCTCCTCTGCATCCACCAACAGAACTACTTCAGTGCCACTTATACCATGATCATGTTTAATTTCTCCCTCAAGCAGTGATGCCATTTGGAAAAGCAAAACATCACTGATTTTTTCTGGGTCAAAATTCAATAACACAGGGAAAAACCTGTCATACTCTTTAAGTATGCAATTTAATTTCAGGTTCATTAAAAACATTACATTGAATTAATAAAGGAATTAATTGAATTAAATAAAGGAAATTGAATTAATTGAATTAATAAAGGAAACCAACTTTATTTTTCAGTAAAATTCTGGAATTTTTTGGCAATTAAACAAAAGTCAATTCACACAAAGCTAAAATTTCTATCAAAGATAACACAGGCATGATAGGCTACCTGGCTGCAAAATCTAGCATCCTCCTCCCTTCACTAGGACTTCAGGCTGAAGTTTCCACCCATCGCATGCTTGTTAATTTTTTTAAATAACCTTAATAAAGTAGTTCCCATAAGGAAGAAATATTTCCCTGTATTTAAGAGAATATAGGTGCAATACAAACTGCAGAACACATGGTGGAACATGTAGCAGAAAGGGAAAGGAGCCCTTTGACAAACTGAGAACCCTTTACAGAACTTTTTTGCCCCCCCTCTACTATCATATTTAAATATTTAAATTAGGAAGGTATAAATATTGTACCGACTTGGGAGTAAGGCAGACAAAGTAAAAAGGTTTTCAACCATTGAGCTGTAGAATTACATAAAAAACTGCTATTAAAAATCAGTGGAAAAAGGGGTGTATCTTCCACAGATTGCTTTTATGCCCCTTTATAATTTCATAGGCTGGGTGCATAGCTTTTTCTATCACCTTTCCTCTGAGTTTACTTAATGTGTAGAACTGCACAAGAGCAGGAGATGAGCTTTCAATTTTCCCAGAGTATGATTCTGTTCTACCTTGTATGCTCATGACATTTATTTTCCAGCTCCTAAACAGTAAATACTAGTTTGGGTTTTTACTAAGGCTAAGTGAATTTAAACAGTGCTACAGCTCCTGACCTTTAACACATCTGCTGCTGTAAGGGAGGTTTTTCCTTTGTGTGGTTTTCCATACCTCTACAGATTTGAAATACATTTCTCCCACACAATACCCACAGTCACAAACAAATTACACTCTCTGTGTCAACATCTGAAACCAAGTCACTAAATCACAACGTGCTGGGACGGAATTGCTGCCCCTATCATCTACCACTCACTGCTATCAAAGCCTATAACTGGATTAGTGGGAAAACAGCTGTATTATACATTTAAGCTCTTTCAAACAGCAGGTTTTCGCCCTGCAACAAAGCACAGCACTTCAGATAAGAAACATGCAAATCCCAGAGGAAACCACGACATGTTAACCCCTAGCTATCTTTATGTGACTTTATAGTTCATTCAACCTTTCTTCACTGGAAATAAATGCAAGTACTATGTTCAATCGGTAGAACTAATGTTTTTAAAACATCTAGTTTTGAGCTTTTTTCCCCTAGGATTTCTTCAAATACGACGCACAATTCATTAAATCATTCTGTCACTTTCAAGAAGTGATTGGCATGAGCTTAAATCCATGTCTTTCAGTTGTGGGCATGAATCATCATACATATGGGCTTTGTGGGACAACATCTCGGCAGAGGTTAGCAGTAAAACAGCTCTCTAGTTAACTCAAAACCTCATACTAAAGACTCTATGGTTATTAAAGCTAACAGGCCATAAAACAACTGTCATGTTTCAGGCCAAAAGACCCATGAGGGAAAGAAAAATTGTAGATAACTTCCAGTATAGTGCTAGCTTTCACATATCCATCTGCTAATAATGTATTAACTGAACATTTTCACTTAGCTTTTTGGACTTTTTATTTAGCCAATCATGTCTAATAGCAGGATGCTTCAAGAGAAAATTTTCTTTAGCAATACCAAGAAGCATGTTGCATAAATCTACATTTGTTTCATCTAGAAAAAAATTTAAGTTGATATTTTGGGTTTTGGATTTATTAAGATAGCACTGGAGTTGGACTTTGGACATGCTTTCCCTGTTACAGAATATTCTGTGAATAATGATCATAGACTTATAGAATAATTTAGTTTGGAAAAGACCTTTAAGATTATCTAGTCCAACTGTTATACTAATACTGCCAAGTCCGCCACTAAATCATGTCCCTAAGTGCCACATCTGCACATCTTTTTAAAACCACCAGGATGGTGACTCCACCACTTCTGTGGGTTAGCAACACGTCCAGAGAAGAAATTTTTCCTAATATCCAGTCTGAATCTTCCCTGGTACAACTTAAAGGCTGTTCCCTGCATCCTATTGCTTGTCACTCATGAGAAGAGGCTGTCCCCCACCTAGCTACAACCTTCCTTTCAGGTAGTTGTAGAGAGTGATGTCTCCTTGAGCCTCCTCTTCTCCAGGCTAAACTACCCCAGCTCCCTCAGCCGCTCCTCATGAGACTTTTGCTCCAGACCCTTCACCAGCTCCGTTGCCCTTCTCTGGACACGCTCCAGCACCTCAATGTCCTTCTTGTAGCGAGGTGCAAAAAACTGAGCACAGGATTCAAGGTGTGACCTCAGCAGTGCTAAGTGCCAGGGGACAGTCTCTGCCGTTCGCCTGCTGGCCACACTGTTGCTGATACAGGCAAGGATGTCACTGGCCTTCTTGGCCACAGGCAACTTTTCAGCCACTGTTCAGCCACTGTCAACAAGCATCTGCCATTTAACACAGTACCTAAATTAATAAATTATCAAGCTTTTTGACAAAGGTATACAAGAAAGAATAAATGGGAAAAAACTAAGCAGTAAAATGTTGAATTTAGTATTTGAATAAAGATCTCAGACCTTCTAAATAAAAGCCATGTATGAAATTTTCAAAGATCTGACTGAATGATCAGAATAATGATTGTTCTAGTGCCTTGTTGTACTTCAGGTGTCAAGATACTTGACAGTTAAATCAAACATAAAAATAAAGCAATATACATGAAGAGAGTACAGCAAATAATACCAACTTTGCAGTGGATTAATTCCTCATAGAAGCTAGGCCTGTGTACATGCTTTTGTGAATAATCCTAAGAACAAATAATACTGATAATATATCACCTCCTTGAGCGGTGGCACCCCTAGTGCTAACTTCGAGGCTTTGAAAAACTGAGTAAACCAAAGTAAAAGCTTTTTTAAAAAAAAGGGAAAATAAATTTAAAAAAAGGCCAAACTTCTGTATTCAATTCTCTCATTTGTAGAATGCCTTGTGGCAGTACAACCATTTGTTTCCTATCTATAGCATATGATTTCCTGTCTGTTAGAGAAATAAAATATGCGTGTCATAACACAGTGGCCACCACAATTCCACTCATAAATCATCTGAATACATGAAAACATTACATAAAAGTAATTGCAATACTGAAAGTATCTAATACAGACTTTTAAATTATAAGTGCATAATACCAAATAGCATTTTATAAAAGATTTAAAGATGCTATGTTCTATTATGCACATTTCTGTGAGTGTTGCCCTCCTCTGATGATGAACACAGCCCAACCAAAATGTACTCTTCCATTCTGCAGTCAAATATCTGCTGTGAGCCTCTAAAGTTCATTCAAATAAAAAAAGATCCTTATACATTTTAAGTTGCAAACCAGTGGGAAAATGTACTGTAGAAAATATTCAAGGATTTCCAGTTCTTTTTTGACACAAATCCTAACCTTGGGACCTCACCAGAATAACACTGAACCTTAGCTAATAAAATACCCAGAGCCTAAGAAAGGCTTAGCTTTAAGATACACTATTTCTGGTCACCTGGGAGAAAGTGTAAGGAGAGAGTTTGGAAAGCTGTATAAATCAAGAGGTAGTAGGGTCCAGATTTTCCAGAAGTGAAAGCTTGCACAGCTCCACTGAACATAGAAATCAATTTCCATCACTTTAGGATTACAAGCTTTTTGTTTTTTAAATCACTGAACCTAACAACAAGATTTTAGCCCCCTAATACCATTACAGAAAATCTTATTTCCTTTAATAATAATAGTAAAAAACATTTGTTTATTTTTTTCACTGTAATTTATACTAAAGAAAATGGTGTAATCCACTATTAAAAACTTGAACAAAGGAAACATTATTAACAGTAAGGGCTTGTCTGCTACTTGGAGAAAGGTCTGGCTAGACTGACAGCAAACAATGAAGCAATAAGCAGTTTTGAAAAAGATTTCTTTTAGTTATATTTCAGGTCTTTCTCCCTCAGGCTGGCTACAACACAACTGTAGAAGCTGAAAATTATCTCCAAAATCATTCCAGCTACTCATCATTCAGGCTGTCTCTTGTCATTATGAGTATGTCAGCACACCTATCCTAAATACTTAGAATCAAAGCTCTACAGTTGAACAGCTTAATAAAAAATAAAAAATGCCTTGCCTGAGGCTAGGACATGACATCCAACGTATCAGCCTGAAAACTGAAAGTTGCCCATACCTTTTTCATGGATTGTCCCCTCTATTTTATTATTTATTATGGGAAAAAATTGCTTTGCTACCCATCAAGTTGCTAACTGTAGAACTTCTCAGCAACACCTCTTTGGCAAGTCAGATATATGGCTGTACATCTTCTGTCATCATGCATCAATCAACATGAGCAACCTGAATATCTGCTCTGTGGAAAACTTGGAAACTATCAATTATTTCAAGATAATTTGAATATACCAGTCTAATGAAAGATGTGTTATAGAGACCATAGTACTACACTGGAAAGGAGAATTTGACTATACAGAGGTTTATTTAAATGACTTTTGCCCTTCACTCAAATATATATATATATATATAATAACAATTCCAGGACATCCATTTTACTTTATAGGAAAAAAAATCCAAATGTGGTGTTTTGTAATATATTTTAAGTCTCCCTGCAGCTTAACATTCAAGTATCTCACATCCAGGATTAAAAATAGTTTGCTTATAGCTTTGTTGACAATGCAAATTTTGTAGAAAGAACAGATACTCACTGAAACTACATTCACAAAGTCATCGTCAGACAACGTCTCTAACATCTCAATGACCGAGGTGCGGATCAGCTTCAGTGTCAATCCACTGACACTCCCACTCCTAACAAAAATCCACAAGATAATAAAAAAGTTGAATTTAATAAATGTTATGTAAAATGTACAAAGAAAACACAGAGCACCCACCAGTACTCTGATCAGCTTTCACACTAAAATTATCAGTTTAGCTCTTGAATGTTCCAACTCATCAGTAGTATTATTACACTATTAATAATTACTAAATTAAGTCCAAAACTGTCATTCAAAGTCCCAGTCCTGTGGCTTAGTTGAAGTTATAATGATACATCATTTCCTCATTTTCTTTTCAAGAAGTCTGAGAAAGTTTACCAATGCCTTATCTAAATATTTTATACTCCCACACACAGATTTACAGCTTTAGATTTTAGATGTGCAAATGACAGCTTGTTTGATTCAAGGCAAAACCTAAGCTGAAGTGAAGAAATAACAAGTGTTGATAAAACTCACTGCTGATATGAAAGCACCTCACCACATGTGAAAGCATTAAATGCAAATTCTCTGACTGAGAAGCTTCTCAGAATAAAGCAATGTGAGACATCAGGTTCAATGTCTCCTTCAGTCCCTCAACATTAGCTACACCAAGGAAGCCTTGTCAGTGCAAAGACAGAGCTTTCATTAATTTGTTTGCTCACTTTCTAGTAATGTTCTATAGTAACCAAACTTGTGTGGTAAAACATGCAAAGCCTGCATATGTTCTCATCTTTCATGCTCATGAAATCACGATTGCGTCTACTATAATGCTTCTAGTCATTTGTTTTTAGGTTTGTGTTCTACAACAAATCTTGATGTGCACATGAGAAATATTCACTTGATTACTTCTCTAATTAGTAAGTTGAAAGCAGAATAATATTGAAGAGATTAAAAAAAACAGCTACCTTGTCCCCAGCTACCCAAAGCAACTTTCAGGTTTGGTTTGGGCTTTTGGAAATATTTTTTACCGTGTATTTATTTTGTTCATGCCAAGAGGTTTGAATCTTGCATATAAGGACCTTTTAATCCCCTCTCTATTTTTCAGCACACAGAGATTTGTTCAACACATGTAGGTACTTTTATCCCTTTAATGTCAATATTCGGACATTAAACACTTACGCATCAACTAAAATAAGCATGTCTTTGGGAGATGCAGCTCCTTGAATATACCTGAAATAAATAAATGGCATAATTGAGACAAATTTGAAAACACATTTTTTGTGAGTGATGGAAGACACTCTGTGATCTCTAAACTCAAACTAGCTGAACCAACAAAATCCTGCTGTTGTAGCTAGTACAAAAACCATGTGCTGCTGTTTTCTCTCTTGCTGTGTCTTCTAAGTAAATCAAAGTCTAAACCACATTAGGGAAATCTGGAAGTAGAATACACTGATCAAAATTCACTGTTTTCAGATGTTTAAAAATGAAAAAAATGAATGCTATTTCAGAGCTAAAGATCTTGATGACAGATGAATTATTACTCAGCCCAGCTTAGGGACAAACATTCATTCCTTTGAAAAAACTATATCCAACTACATCCAAGTATCAATATTCTTCATGTCTTGAGAGGTTTACAGAAAAAAATTACGAGAAGTAATCCCACTGCTCTCCTGTCTTTTAGTAATCTAGTCATTTTATCACTAGTCTAAACCACTGAGACATTTTTTAGACACTTGCAAAAGTCTGAAAGAATGGTTCAGTCTAATACTCTGAATTATATTTTATTTTGGCACAAAATAAAAAGTTTTTAATTGTCTTATAACCATTTGATAGTTATGAAAAGGTCCACGCAATGCAACAGTATGACTCACTACAGTGGATATTGCACAATAAGGAATATGATTTGAAAATTGTTTATTCAGAGGAATTAACTAATTTAAAAAAGAAAATAACAGTATCTGAAAGTAGGGACTATCGGATATAAATAAACAGAAAAAAATGTTTTTACAGTAATATCTAGAAAGTAAGTGATGTATATATGTTTCAAACCTTTGAAAAGAAGGCTTACCATGGTCTTCTGCGTACATCATACAGATCTATTTTGTTAGGAGTTCGGCTTTTATCTACCCATGGGGAAGCTAAAAAAAAAAAAATGTATGGAATAAATTAAAAACTTCATCTCAGGTATTTTACTTACAACAATATAATGAATCAACATCACAGATTTTGCACTACATAAATATCAACATTTGGTATTGATCAAAAAAATCTGTATTTATGTAATATGTTGCTGAAATACCTATATACCTTTATATATGACCATACAATATAATGCAATAAAACTGCATATATAAAGACCTTCAAGAGCCAAGTGTGCTGAAGAAACAGGTACTGACTATAATTGACCACTGATTTCAATGGAACCAGAAATTCAACTGAAGTACTTCAGAATATGAAATAACTTTTTAAAAGAAATACTTGATTAAAAAAACTTATAAGTTAATTATTATTGCATACAGTAATGCTGTACCAATCTAAAGCTCAGTTATACACTTAAAAAATTGTAAACTGACTCAAGAGGTTTACCTAAAAAAGCAAATTAGAAAAGTAACATGAAAGTATCATATTTTCTGAAAACAAAATGAGATGCACATGCTTGTGTCTCTGTAAAGAAAATGCTAAGACTGATAACCTTTTGCAGGTGTTTAATCTAGACTTCTCCATGATTTTCAGCAAGGGCAGGAATTTTTTCCTTACTGAAAAAACAAAATGAGCCTTTCAAAACCACTTGACAGCTTAATGAACACAAATAAAAATGTGCAAAGTTACAGGGAATGAGATAATGCTCTGCAATTTGTTCTCTCACTGTATGCCAACGGCCTTGGGAAAGCTATTTCCTGACATTAATAATTTTTCTACCTAAGAAATAAAGAAAGATATAAGCAGATCCAGGATTCTTCCCAAAAAAGCATTCATCAAAGACAAAATGGAAGAATTATGATATCTTTACCCATAAATGTAAAAGAAGCCACCAGCTTTGAGTAGCTGCCTATTTTTGATACTACGAAATGAACCCTCTCCTAAGTCACCAAACCCTGAGTTGGCCCATCACCTACCAGAACATTCAAGTCAAGTGTAACCCACAGGACATTTATCAGTACACATTTAGCAGCCATAGAAAACACTCTGTATTGCTGCACACCAGGAGAACCTCAAAGTCTACACCAGTATTGTCTGTGATCTCAGACTAGACCACCTGGCAGGTCCTTCGGGACCTGATAACGAAAGAGTATTTGAAATTTCCAGAAATTAGAAAATTGAATTTTTAAGACTGATATATGTTAAAATTCTAACTTAAGTAACATTACTTAAGGTTAAATTCATCAGTATTTTTGAGCCCACATGGTTAGCACATATTCGATGACAAATTTTTTGTGTCTGTCCAGGTTATCCTATCAATAGGAATTCCATCTAAAAATACATCCTTCAACAACATTCCCTGAGACTTGCAAAATCTGCATGCAATGTACTTATTTCAGTTTGTATTATGATTGGTTTAAGCAAAATACCAAATATAAATCAAGATACTGACCAACACTGCTATATCTTTGCCAAAACCTCCAATCTTTCCAGTGACATCCAATAAAAGGCTATGCCACGCCAAATCTGTCCCTCTCAATAGACGTATCTTGGACAGTCTTCATAAACAGAGAATTACCTGAATGTATGATCTGGATTTATTTCAAAACAACTTATAAAATGCAATTTACACCGGCAATGTCACTTTTTTCATGTGAAAGATAAGTCGAACTCCTTAAGTGCATTCTCCAAAGCAAATGGATGGTGGTTCACAGAGAATTTCAGTGCAGGAGCTGAAGAGTGGTCCTAGCATTATCATCATATTCTACTGTGACAGTAGATACTGGCATAGTTAACAATTTTAAATTGAATCGATGTTCTAAAGACACACAAAATAAGACTGTCCCCACAGCCAATATAAATTATCTACTGAAAACCATCACAGGTACATTAGGCTAAAATTTATCTGATATCGTAACCTTCAAGAAGATGATAGTGTAACTTCACATACTATTTTAAACTCTCTAAGTAACTCTCTAAGTGCTAAACTAAAATTTAAAGAAATGTAGGTTAAGATTACGTTTTACCTGTGTAAAAGAAGACTGTGAGAAATAATTCAGCTCCTTTTTTCTACAAAATTTGAGACCTACAAACACATGCTAATGTTATACCACCTGACATAACTTCCTCGAAGTCAATGCCAGTTGTCTAGTCAGAAAGCACTTCAGAACTGGGGCTTTTAGATCACTGTATGGCAAAGTTTTCAGAAACATGAAGAGATAAAATTAACACCAACTAATATATCAAATAATAAAATTTTAAATGCCTGAAATTTTCCCTAGTATTTCCAAAATCACCACAAGTCTTTGTATAAAAAAAGTTGATTTCTTTTCTTTTTTTTAAACTGGAATGCACACCCCAATAACACTTTTTAAAATTACTTCTTTTCTTTCTTTCCCCTCTAAATATGCAGAAGATGCTCAAAACTTCTGGTTGAAACAGAGTAAAATGAAGGATGTAAAGACAAATGTTTTCAAATTGTTCTTCAGTGGAATTCCTTCTGTTGAGACTTGAACTGCTAAGCCTTGCATTTAGTTCTACCATAGCTTTTCAGTAACATTCTGAACTGCAACAAGATCTGAAGAGTCCCCTTCTGGCTACATCTACATTAGTAGGATAAAAAGCACAACAGAAGGGAACACATTCATCAGAACCAGGCTAAGAACTATTGGAATTGGACAACAGTCCAATTATACACAAAATAAACTGTGAATAAGCCACTCATCCAACTACTTGCAGCCTATCCAACCCTTTTGGAGAGTACTTTCAACTGTAACACAGATTTTCTTTTTGGGAGATAGACACAGTGCTGAACACAACAGCTAAATTCTACTTTTCTTTCAGTACAAACACCAGTTTCCATGACTGAAAAAATTATGATCAGATATTTATGGGTGGTGGATCATAGACTAATTAAGACACATAAGGTTTAATGAGAAAACTGATTCTATTGATATTTATGATGGTTTCTACAACAGCTTACATAATCTAGTAGAAAGTCTCTGCATGGCTAAACATAAATAAGGACTCAGGCCTTAGTACCTAAAATTTCATTCACACCAAATAAGTGATGAATTCCCTTTTCAACCTCAAGAATTAACACGACTAAATTACTCATTCATCCTAGACTCTCTCTGGAATAACATTTTTAATTTTAGATGGGTTTGAATGGTCTCAAATCTATTCACTGGTTTTGGTAACATTTTGAGTATTTATGGATATTAGTGAAATGATTATTAAGAGGAAACTGAAATTCCCTTATGATATTTGATCTCTACTGATCAAATTTAATGTATCCTGATTTATTATTTACTTTTTTTTTTTTGGTCAAAGGTGATAAATGCTTTCTGTGCAAAAACAAATATACATCAATAATTATACAGAAATAAGAAGGGATGGAGACCACTGAAAGAAAAATGTGTTGCCTTGGTCATATACAGCATATACCATAAAGACATTTGGGGAAACCAGCTTACATCTTACTGACAAAAACCATTACATGGCCTAAGATGAAGGCAAAACGAAATATACAAAGAATACGATTACAATTTTTTGCTAAAAAACTAAAATTGCAGATCAAGGATTTGGAGAGTTACAGTTTTATTTACATAACATTTTTTAACACTTTTTTATCAGATGCCTTGGAACGCAGCTCACCAACATCTTCAAGAAATCAGCTTCCCTGTGTTTCCTTATTGCATGTGACTACCTTTGAACTATATCAACACTGCATGGTTCTCTGGTGCATACATCAGGCTTTAGTCATGTTCCCCTTTGATGATTTTGTTGTTTGGCGTGTGGATAGATTTGATACTTTATAAATTATTCATTGGATTTGATATCCTTCCCACCTCTGCTGTTTGCATTATGGAGATACAGGACTGGCTATATTTCAAGCAAGAGTAAGGCATGCTTTTCCTTTATTTCTGCAGTACAGAGACTGTCACAGGGTAAAGCCTAAATGAAAGTATTTGTTAGGAAAGGTTGTTGGCTACAACCTCTCATTCTGAATGCATGACAGGATTCCAGAGGCACAGGTGAGTGTCATAAGGGAAACTTTCCTGAAAAGTCCTGCCCTGCTCTACTGGTTAGGTATGTCTGTACGAGGAACTGATAGGCAGAGATGAATTATTAACAGCTTTACATCCCTTTGCATTAATAATACAGTTGGGAAAAGAGGTTAAAGCTGATAGTAAGACAGGCAACAAATGCCAATTATCAAATCCCAGACAGCATCATCTTATTTTGACTCAAGCCAAATTACCTTTCCATCTCAGAGGGTTACTTGGTAGTTAACCTCAACATGGCATTTACCAGGTGTGACATCCCACCAGGTTAGACAAATATTTGTTCAAGTTGAATTTTACCTTGCTATCTCCCAAATAAACATTTATGTGGATAATCAAAACAATCAAACCCATAGACTATTCAATTCCCTGAGTCAGATTCAGTAAAATCTTCCTCAGATGGAGCAAAGATACAAGCTATAACATATACTTTGCTGCTAGTTTAATTTCTTATTTCTTTTCATCTTTTAGTGAACTTCTGTGAAAAAAACCTGCATCCAGATATGTGATAGCCCAGACTATTTGAGAAATGTGATATTCCTCAGCTTATTACTCAGAAAGAAGTCAATTTAATTTCAGGGTAGCAGCAGCACCTTTATAGAATTCCTTAGCTATTTTTCAGTAAAAGGTGAAAAGTGGCAAGAGATAGTAATTAAAAATAAGAAACAGTCACTACTTTAAGAGCCCCTTACATTAATCATCATGAAGTATTTTCAACTGCTAAGCTTAGAACTCAGGATATTTATATCATAATGATGCCTTGGATTAATAACTGGTTACTACCATCCCCCCAAGTCAGAGTCTGTTCCTGACCAACTCTGCACTACCACACCAGACGTTCAGTCAAAACTGAATGCAGACACTTCCTCATGATTTTACTCCAATAATTGAAATTGCGAAGATTCCAAGGTACGTTCAGGTAAAATCTATGC